TGAAAGTCACAAGCCGGGGTTGTCAAATACCGCAGTCATGCTTGAGCTGTGATCTTAGAAGGCACATCACATTGCTTTATTGTGCCACATAATCGAATCATGGCTTCCGAGCTGGAAACCCACCAATACAGATCTTCAGAGAATTCCCTGATCTCACATACCAAGATTATAAATATGCAGATGGAGCTCGGAGACTGACAAATACAGAAACCTATTCCAGATGATACCGTATTGTCTAACCATACAACAATCTACCACATGCCATATACGTCAAATGAGACATAAGATGAACTTCAGACTGGGGAAGGGGGGCGGGGGTCTGTTTGTTATTATCTGCAGCCAGGACAGGTTAATGATCAGTTAGAATTCTGTGATAGGTCTGCCTGTCTGTCTAGCTAGGTCTGTCTGCCTGTCTAGCTAAGTCTGCCGGTCTGTCTGCCTGTCTAGCTAGGTCTGCCGGTCTGTCTGCCTGTCTAGCTAGGTCTGTCTGCCTGTCTAGCTAGGTTGGTCTGCCTGTCTGCCTGCCTGTCTAGCTAGGTCTGCCTGTCTGTCTGCTTGTCTAGCTAGGTCGGTCTGTCTGCCTGTCTAGCTAAGTCTGTCTGCCTGTCTAGCTAGGTGTGCCTGTCTAGCTAGGTTGGTCGGTCTGTCTGCCTGTCTAGCTAGGTGTGCCTGTCTGTCTGCTTGTCTAGCTAGGTCGGTCTGTCTGCCTGTCTAGCTAGGTCTGCCTGTCTAGCTAGGTCTGCCTGTCTAGCTAGGTCTGCCTGTCTAGCTAGGTCTGCCTGTCTAGCTAGGTCTGTCTGCCTGTCTAGCTAGGTCTGCCTGTCTGCCCGTCCAGCTAGGTCTGTCTGCCTGTCTGTCTAGCTAGGTCTGCCTGTCTCTCTGCCTGTCTCTCTCAAAAGTATTCACCCCCTTGGCATTTTTCCTATTACTAATTACTATCCCATACTTTTGAAAGCATTCTATCCATCTATCCATCTATCCATCGTTCTTAGTGGCAGTCTAACCACTCACAATTATGCAGATAACAGGCAGGCAGGAAAAGGGGAATAACTGATTAGGGTGACAGTAAAATCAGGTATTTGCACTGTATATGTAGGACCCATTTATAGTGTTGTGATAAAAAACCTCACGTGTCCAGCTTTCCCATAATAACAATAGTGTCTGTTCCCATCTCACCACTGCAGTGCAGTCTATTTTGAGAAATACATGTCCATTTGATTTTGTTTGTTTGTGCTTTAGTACATTGGGAGGCCAGGAAGTCAATGGCATTGCATGAAAAGATGTAGAACATGCACTGACAACAGGTATGAACCCAAAGTGCTGCATAAACTGTTGGCGCTATATGAATACCTGTAATAAATAAAAATAAACCCTCTCCGCTCTAAATTCCAATGTACATTAAAAGTATGCGTCAAAGAGAATGCACCTTGACGCATGACAACGCACCTGCCTAATGATGCAAAAAACACAGCTCTGTGCACATGCATAGAGCTGAATGGACCATTAAAGTATCCTCATACTTTACGAGGGACTATAAAAACCTTCCAGGTAAAGTATTTCCTGCTAAATAGCTTTCATCTGCATAATTCAGGGGAATCCGATGTACTCACAGGCGTGGAAACGGCACAGACTACAATTCTTTCTGAACGGATGGGCACAGTATCTGGGGGGTGTTCAGCCCAACGCTCAGCAAATGATGATGATGCTTTTACAAAGTACTTAAGTGCATTTAAATCGCACATGTGTGCGCTGAGCTATTGGCGAGGTGCATGTCATACAAGTTTTGCAGTCAGCAGCACATTTGTCTTTTCCAGGACACATGTGTAATACGCACAGGAGTTGAAGCATTTACAACATGTGTAATGCTCCCGTCAGTGAACATGTGTTGAAAGAACAGGAAATCCAGCCACAGCTGTCTCCTGAGGAATTGCTGTGTGATTACACTGCCACCTGGTGTCAGAACATGGCTACTGCTTGGGCAGAGTCTGGGTGACCTGCGTTTCACACCAGTCAGCGTATTGGATGCAGCTAAAAGCACAGACTACATTTAGGGGACGTTTCTTAACGCATATGAATGCATGTTGTTATTATTTTTTTTAGTGGTGTCAATAAAACTCTCCATTTACTTTACATTTAGGTGCGGCCAGCTTATCTGCGTTTAGGTAATAGAATTCTGTGCGTCCAACACGCAACAAAAAATCCAAATCCCACTTTAAGGACCCATTCACACTAGTAGCCCACTACTACATTTCAGCTGACGGGCTAGTACAGTGGTGGCGAACCTTGGCACTCCAGCGGTTCCAAAACTACAAATCCCAACATGCATCTGCCTCTGGGAGTTATGTCTGTGGCTGTCAGAGCCTTGCAATACCTCATGGGACTTGTAGTTCCAAAACAGCTGGAGTGCCAAGGTTCGCCACCACTGGGCTAGTGTTTTTGTGGCAGCTCCGGTACTGTGCGTTGTATCGCATGCTGTTACTGTTTGCGTTTTTTGATAAAGTTACTATAGGAGAAAAACCCCCCATAAATTAACCCTTGCAGTGGGGCTGATCCAGCACTGCAAGGCTTAACTGCTTGTTTTCTGGGGGCTGGAGTAAAGAAGATGTACTCGCCTGATCCTTAGCCCCTTCTGGCTGCTAGACCGGTCCGCACAGCCTCTTCTCCCCCAGGCTCTGGTGGTCTAAGCCCCACTACCGCCATCACGTCTAATATAGTCCATTCACCTGCTTTAGATGTGAGGTTGCAGAGGGACATACCACAGCTTGAGTGGAGGGGATAGCCCCACTTCAAGGGTTACATTTGGTACTAGCTGGAGTTCCTCTAACTTTATGTGGAATGTTCAGTGTGTACACCCCATTCAGGTCCCCGCACAGAAGTGCAGAGCGCTGTGCTGCCATGTGGCGTCCAGTGCGCTGCGATAAAATCAGCATGTTTGCATTTTCTTCACCGCCCATCACACCTGTGTTGCTGTGTGAATGGGACACATAAAAAACAATTGTTTCCTGTGTGACCTGCGTTAATCCGGTGCATCAAAACGCAGGTCACAGCGGTATGTGTGATTGGGCCCTTATAGAATTTTATTCGGACTCTTTTAGAGGTCGCTGTAGATGACATCGGTCAGACAAAAAAGCCTTAAAATAAAAACGTAACATTACTGTTTGGTTGAACTTTCACCCCCTTTTACATTGAAAGCATTGTTCAAGTATTCTTTAAAATGCTCAGTCCACTTCCAGCGCAGATAGCAGCCAGCCATCTTCTCCTTGTCAGAACACACACATCACATGGAGGGCTGCTGATCCACAAGGACCAGGGAACCTGAGAGCAAGAACACAGGGCGCCCAATCTATGTGGAGGATCACTTTATTCTAAAACACCAGAGAAGACGATATTCATACTTCCTCCCAGATTCTGTACAATCTGTGCGAGTGGCAGAATACAAATGTTATGGCCATGTCCAGGTGTTGCAATATCATATGATTGAGAAGGAAGTTATTGTGAACGTGCAAATATGTCCATCAAACTGATCAATGTGAACAGTCTGCCCCTCCCCCCCCAATGCCATATTATACTACATCCACAGAGTGTAAAATAGGTTGGTGCAAATGACGTCCTGATTTAATGATATAACTCCATATCATTTTTCTATGTTGTTACAATGTATAAATATAAGTTGCAAACCAATAGAAATATTGAAACCTAAATAAGTTTATAATATTTATTTTTTAGAATTTGTTAAATTTTTTTTATAATGGGTTCCTTCCCAAGACAATGAATTATTTTGCAAGGCGGAGAAAGCAGCAGAGTCTTATTCTAAAGATGAGATCCAAGATTACTAAAGACCTCTTGGCGATCTTGCTTGGAACTTGAAAATAATTTTTTTGTTGCTTGTGGAATGATTGGCCTGATCTGTATTTTCAATGATTTCTTTGTAACTAAAATCAGGTTTATGTTGATCTTATATTACAGCAATACAATATAATGAAGAATATGGTGTATGGTGTATGTCGATAATCTATAAAATGAGCTGAATAATGCATGCACTCCTAATTGAAAGTAGCATCATCATAGGACCTGGCTGTGTCTGGATCGATGTTCTTACTGTGTTAGAAGTTTATAGTGTCTGGGTATAGTCATGGTGAATCTCTGCAGCATCCATGCATAGGGCAGTGTTAAGAGCTTCTTAATCCATGTGATTTCTATGCAGTCAATGGTATGCTCTCTGCAAAATAGATATGATTGAGATTATATATATATATAGAGATATATCTATAAATATATCTCTATATATATATAATGTGTGTGTGTGTATATTTTATATACTAGTTTAGGTAGCTTTTTACTGTAAAACATTTTCCTTGATATTGTTTTTAGTGTTAATGCAGATCTTGAGTATTTAATTTTTTTTCCAAAAGGCCATTTTCCATGAGCCCAACAGACTTCTACACTAGTAGCTGTTGATCTAAGCTCTAGTGACCTCGGTGCACAAGTCTCAGCTTACCTTACAGGAGGGAGTCTCTGCTGTCCTGTTAATTAATGCAGTATATTCTTAGTTTAATTAAAAAAATAATCACTATAAAATCATAAATTCTAGATACTTTCGGAGATTTAAATTCAGTTATTACTTTATTTATCCTAAAGCTCTATGAATATGTTTTTCGCTACCTTCAGTGTATACCTTTCATTGAGATTTGAATGCCCCTCTATTAATGCTGGTGAACCCATATATTTTCTCATTACCCTGATCCAGTTCATGTCTTAGAGCTGCCTTAAATATATTTCTGTTTGCATTTTTTTTTTTTTTTAAAAGAAAAGCATTTTTCTGATATAATCACAATAGGAACCTCATAAAAGTATTGATTAGTCCAATGTATTACTGCTTGTGATTTATTTTTAATGGGGAATACTTTCTGTTAATGTCTCTTTTAAATTTTTTATGAATTAAATATTAAGACACGGTCACCGTCTGCATGACCTGAAGTTTTTTGTTTTTTTTTACACAGGCAAGAGGTTCTGAAGTGGAACGGATGGGGGTATAATGATTCCAAATTCACCTTTAACAAGAAGGGGCAAGCTGAATTTACTGGGAAACGGTAAGATTGAGGTTGTAGCCGACTTTTTATATCTGAGAAATATATTTTCACATGGTGTGTATAATTACTCACGTAGCTATAAAGCAGTAAATGTGACTTTCACCAAATATTCACTGTCAGTGATTTGGTCACTGTAATTTAAAACACGCGCGCACACACCTGGAAGATTCACCTGCAGACACTGGTGAATGTCAGACTTGCTGAGTTTCTTCCCCCTCCTACGAAACAGCCTTGCATTTAGCAATCTAAAAGTAGATTTAGTTAGAAAGCTAAATATGAAATATCGCATATTATTATGCAGTCTTCTTACTAGCCAGCAGGTAGAGTCCTAGGCACTTCTAGACCCTGCCACTGGGAGCAAGTGTGCTGGGTCTCCTGACTGGTGCCCTGGGTCCAGTCAGATTGAACAAAGAAAGTCATGTTGATTGCAAGAGTGACATGCTCTGTTTTACACAGGTAGCACTGGGTACATCCAGCCTGACCCTGCTTGCATAGTTCCTTGGGAGCTGGGAAGGAGGAGTGTAGGACTTCTGCAGCAGCTTTAGTAAGGTAAGTAAACAGTTCATCCCCCACTGATCATCAATGTTAAAAAGGGGCATAATGACCACCAGTTTTAATGCTGCACTAAATTGGACACTGAACATCAATGTTAGGGGGGCACTCATTGGATACATGGCATTACTTTCATCGATGCAAATTATAGCTGTTCAATTACAGAATTCAAGGAGTCATCACAGCAACAAATCCCTTATCAAATGGCTTAGTCCAAGGTTTAGATCAAACTGAGCTGCAAAGCAAGCTTCACGTGTTGCTTTCTCCCTAGCTAATCCAAGTTGCAGTCAAAATCCTGCGTCATGTAGTAAATGTGTATTTCTGAAAAATACAGAATATATATATATATATAATGTGTGTTTTTGGTTTTTTTATTTGTTGAAAGCGATCTTCATTAAAACGAACATTTCTGCAATCACAATACCAGCACTCTTGTGTTCTTCATGTTAAACTGCTTAATATAGGTTGGATTTTAATTGATCGGTTTAGTTCTGTCAGGATCATTGATTATTTGATAATTCACTAATCCATTTTGTTTACCAAATGTTGCTATTTGTCAAGAAGCACAATATGAATACGTAGCTGTTGCAATCACTTGCAGCTTATATATTTGACTTTTTTTGCCTGAAGATGGTGCCAGAGTACAGTTATGCTGCCTGCAGCTGAAGCTGAAGTCTACAAGAGGTTAAACAGCAGAGGCGTGTGTATGCAGATTTACTGCGCGAGTCATACGTGACTTCATCCAGTAATACTCTGTTTATTTGTAGTTCACACCCACTGACCAATGATTGTAGATGCCCAGCACCACCCACCTCAGACGTTGGCCAATCATAGTCATCTTACGGCTTGGTGCAACTATGTGTAAACAGAGCATGAGCTAGGGGAGGAAACATTTTAAAGGGACAAATTCCTCTGTTGGGGGGGAGGGGGGGATGGAATAAGAAAAAAAAAAAAGCTTGTGAAATTGTTTTCAGGTTCTCGGCCATGAGGAAAGAAACGAGAACTGCCACTTACACTGCTGTGTCATTAGGAGCCTTTATTTTATTTTTTATACTAGATTTCTGTTTTTGTTCATATAAGTCTGTCGTGTTGCAGTTCAACAAAATCCACAAAATAGTTTTTTTTTTTTAAATTTAGTGACTTGGTTATTAACATACAAGAATGGTTCTAGTGTTTCTACCTCATATATTCGCAGTGCATAAAGAATTGAAAGCTCCTGTGTCCCGCTGCATCCGTATAGAATTTAATCACCAATATTTTTGGTTGGTGCTGTGCAGTTTTATTCTCCTTTCTGCTTTACTCTTATACCTCGGACTCACTGGAACTAACAACCTGTTTTCTCTACCTCAGCAGTGTAGACGTGCCTGTAAACATAGGGAGTAGGGATGAGCAAACTGATTAACTGGAATTGATTTCACCCTCGGCCAAAATTTGCAGAAGCGGAAACTCTTAATTTTGCTCATTGAGCTGGTGAAATTGGTTAAAAAAAAAATTGTAGTGTGTGTATTTTAGTAGTTTAGTATATTTAAATGTACGTTTCTTTTCCTCTTTCCCTTTTTTATTTGGTATTTTTCATTTGCTTTTATTTCACGGACAGCATTTTTACACTGCGGAGTGTGTATGTGTGTGTGTATGTGTGTATATATGTATGTGTGTGTGTATATATATATATATATATATATATGTGTATGTATGTATGTACATTTAAATAGAAACGTACATTTAAATATACTAAACTACTAAAATACACACACTACAATTTTTTTTTTTAACCAATTTCACCAGCTCAATGAGCAAAATTTAAGAGTTTCCGCTTGTGCTAATTTTTGCCGAGGGTGAAATCAATTCCAGTTAATCAGTTTGCTCATCCCTACTCCCTATGTTTACAGGCACGTCTACACTGCTGAGGTAGAGAAAACAGGTTGTTACACACATAATATAAATATATATATAGTGTGTGTGTATATATCTGTCTCATTTTTTTATTGTGGCTACTTTTGTGTGTGTATTATGCACGGTTAAATTTTAAAGCACATGCATACACTTTTAAGCAGATTTTTGTTTTTTGAAAGCATTTATACTTTCTGAAAGCCACTATTCTCCTTCTAGATTATTGTATTGATCCATAGGAAATGGGCCACACCTAAGTAATCAGTAGCTAAGGATGCTTTTATGTGCATTTACCTTCTGCTACCACATGTAGGTGGTATGGTCAAATGGTAAGACAAAGAAATGAAATCTATATCGTCATTACTTAAATACATCCTTCTGTTTTGGATTGGGAAGCATTGTACAAATGATTTCAAAGGTACTTGAGTCTGCAGCCGATAGCAGGTCTATATATATTGAAAAAAAGTGTATGTGTATGTATGTATGTATGTATGCGTGTGTGTACGTGTGACTCCATTTTTTTAAATTTATTTCGTTTTTTTTAATCTCCTTCCCTTTTTTAATTGGATTTTTATTCCTTAAATCTGTTTGAGGAATGACACATACCTTCTCTTTTGTTAATAAAGCTGAGCTCGTCTTGCCAACTTGCCCGTATCCTGTTTTCCTTCATCATTTTAGTGCAGATAGGGCTCATTCCCATCTGCACATTTTCTGTGTACTGAAACCATAGAGGTCCATTTCACAAGCAGCAGTATAGCCATTTAAAAAATAAATAAAAAACAAATGGCACATTTATACAAAAAAACAAAACCGTGCTTTGCAAACGTGCCTTTTGGGTGCCCAAAGCCAGCAAGGAGCAACAAAAGTGAATAAGAGGGGAGCCAGATCACATGACCTGCTCTGCAATCACAGAACTATCTGCTGTAATGAGCAGAGAGAAGTATGTGGCGCAGTGCTATGGCCGGCTATGTATGGATGGGCCGTAAACCTGCAGAGAATGAGCGGATAGCGATGGTCCCTCTCTGTACCATATCTGCCCGTAAGGCTGCAGTCATAACAAGTTTGAATCTCATGCCATTGGGCCAGCAGCATTTTGGGTCCTTTCTCTATCCCAGTTTGGCACATACACTGAGCTGAGCACAAGAAACGGCCATAGAGAGTATCGGCCCAATCTTCATCAGGACACATCCATGAATCTGAAGAGAGAAGAATTATTGCAGAGGGAGTGAAGGGATGACCCTCCCAGAAAAACTAGATGAAAAACCTTTCCAGCATGGTGCTCGTTTTTCCCTAGGGGCCAGAATAAGGAAGAATATTCTCTCCTGATCCTCGTTCCTGCAGCGCTCGCCTCTCTCTCCCTCCGCTCTGGCTGTGGAATGTCCCACAGCGTTCTTACGTCTTATGCTGCTGCATTTGATGTGATGATGCCACGGGTTCTTAGACCATGAGAGCCCTGCAGGGACCGGTCTAGCATCCCAGCAGGACCAAGCATTAGACGCGTATATTTTCTTTATTGCCACTAAACCAAAACAAGCAGAATTTTTACATTTCCTGAAATTGTTCTTTCATTTTTTGTTAAAGGAGCACTTCTCCTTAAAGAAGAACTCCCAGGCAGAATAAAACAACCTTTACAGTGGGGCTGCCCCTGCAAGGGTTAAGCGCTTGTTTTCGTGTAAGGTTTAAAATAACAAAGATATACTCACCCAAACTTTGGTCCCACTTAGCTGCTAGACCGGTCCCTGCAGCCTCTAACTCCCTCCATTCCGGCGATGGAATGTCCCTTGGCGTCCTCACGTCTAATACACGGGGGAATTGATCAAAACCAGAGCAGACAAAATCTGGAGCAGCTGTGCAGGGCAACCAATCGGCTTCTCTCAGTTTGGTCAGTTAAGATTTGAAAATGAAAGATAGAAGCTGATTGGTTGCCATGCACAGCTGCTCCAGATTTTGTCTGCTCCAGTTTTGATAAATTCCCCTCACTGCATATGACGTGATGACTCACTGGACCCAAGACCGCCGGAGCGAAGGGGGAGAGAGGCAGGACGAGGTTCGGGTGAGTATATCTTTGTTATTTTAGACCCTAGATGAGAACTAGCGCTTAACCCTTACATGGATCTTCTTTTGAAAGATCTCGAGGCACCCCAGTCTAAAATGTAATGGATTTGAATGGGGAACCCCACGCAAAAGTCCTCTTCACATTCCCAATTCTCCCTTCACATCCGAGTCATAGATCGCAAGATTTTGAAGCGCCCCTGAGGAAGCCAGAAGGCACCTCGGGGTGCCACGGTACACTGGTTGAGAAAGGCTGTATTAGAGTGTGCTGGAAGTTGTAGTTCCTCACCACCTGGAGGGCTGCGGTATAAATCCTTGTCGGGTTTGTTTGGTTCTTTGCATTGCGTGCCAGACATTGGTGTCTTAGCTACACAACAAATTGTACTTTTGGAATGTATTACAGAGTCTAATTTTAAAGAAAGGAACGTAGAGTATGTGATTCCTCCGCATTGTGCAGGCAGGATATACAAGCCAGCAGCTGTATAGGGCTGTCCATTATCAGGCAT